TGCGAGATAAACTGATTATTATTGACACTACGTTAATATTTTAGTTAATGAAATTTTTAGTAAAGTCTTTCTTTTTTGAGTAAATATAAATAAAATAACATATTAAAAAATATTTACATATACATATATATTATACATAGAGCGTCTATCTATTATATTATAAAATTAAGTTAAAATACCCAATTTAAGATTTAACAGTGAAAATATTTTCTCGGTGGCTTCTAGATGGCTAGCGTAGTAGCGCTAACTGGGTCACTACTTCAATTCCTCAATTTTGAGTGAAGTCCAAGGTTGCTTAAACCTAAAGTTTAGGCATACCATACCTAATTTATATTATGCAAGTAAAAAACTGCATCATCTTTATGCTGTCCGTCTAAACTGCAAGATAAGCAATATTTTATGTATAATGAATCTATTATACTTGTCTGAGAACATTAGGCAAAAATATAAAGATATAAACACTTCACATTCATACTATTGGCGCGCAATAAATCTAAGGTTAATAGGTGACACAAATCTCAATCCATAATATGTCAGTACATGAATTTATGTTCTGTTCGAATGTTTCGATAAGTATAAAGAAATCTACATTAAACAGAAAGTCTTTCTCTAATGCGTTAAAGATCTTATTAGTGTATAATATTATATGAAGAATATAGCTACTTCAATCATCTAAAATCATATTATAATGCCGAGGATTAAACACAAACGCTAAAATTTAATATATTTTACGACTACACCTTACATGACCTATCTACTTTTATATTTGACCAACATCTGACGCGATGTTACCTATTTAAAAAAACTACTTTGATGGATTTACATGAAAAAGCTTTTACCACAGTTATGTATTTCGTTAATGTAAGATATAAAAAAATAAATGTGCAATGGCTTCAAACCCTAAAACTAAGATTAACATACCACAACACTGAGTTATTCAATTCTCGTTTAGTAGGTTTACAGCTAGTTTTGTTATCTTTTTGTCGAAAATATGATCTTTAAAGTTCACAAAGCTTAAAAGCACAACTTTGATGTGGTCGTAGCCTCGCAGCGTGCAATGAAACTAAACTAAATATAAAATAAACCTAATAAGATAGTGAAATAAATCACTTACCAAAATGTTACACAACAAGTATTTTAGATTTGCATTTTTTTTTCAATTTATATGATATATATATATATAGCTTAATACAAGAAAATTTTTGTTTTATTCTTTGTTCTATTTAATTTCTAATTTGTAAGCATGTTAAAACCATAAAATTTTTAATGTTACAAATATATTTATGTTAAATGCCAGATGCATTCACAGACAGGAACTTATTTCAATTTGCATCTTATTAATGGTATTTACAAGTTCAGAGTTTGCATTAGGTGGGTGGATAGATGTTTCGCGTCTATCTCCGAAGCGCTAAGCAGTTTCACCCACGTATAGGAAGCAGCTCGCCGGGACTCGTGTTCCAGATGTAATCGTTCCCAAGACAGTGTGAAATAGCCCTTTATTAAAAATTCTGCCACCCACTTCTATGACCTTTAAATATATTACTTATTTTCTAAATAACCGCCTACTCTATACATACATAGGTCATATTATTGTTACTTTGAATATTGTTCAGTGCTTTTTGGAATAATAAATAGTAATTATTATCCATTCTTGTAGTCTGTCTCATTTAAGTTGCTTGCTAGGAAGAAAAGAGAAATACTTTTTTACCATTGATGTCACATAGCAGCGCTTTTTCTTACTAGATTTTAAAGCCGCGAATTGTCTTTGTAACTTCCTGTACAGTTGATATAGTGTTACATTGTTTCGTACCACCATGGTTGTCACTAAATTTAATTTTCATAATCCAATAACCTTAAAATAGTATCTAAGGTTATAATATACAGTCTATTCTACTCCCCACAGATATTGCTATTCAATAATGGCTGCGTGAGAAATCCACGTGTTTGCAATTTACAAATTTTCCACGAGTCAGTTATTTACTTAATAATGGAACGCTGGAACAGAATAATTACGTGGTCGCTGTGTTCAGAGTTGTTTATTAATTAAACCTTAAGTAGTCTTAAATATATTTATACTATCTATATAAATAAAGATACAATTCTGTTCGTTAGTCATCGCATGAGAACGGCTGAACCGATTTGGATTTTTTTTGTACTCGTAATAGTCTGGAAAAGGTTTTAGGTGGAAAAATTGAAATATTTGCCCAGTAAACAAGGATAATGATAATGCTTATTTCTATAGGTTTTTTTAAATAAATTCTTGAATATATCACAAAGAAAATTGAAATTTTGACAATGTCTGCTGCCTCAGTAGTCGTGTCGTATTAAATATTTTTAAAATACGTCACAATACTTATTTTTCATAGTTATATCAAAAAACACCAAAAAAATTATACATTTTTTACATTTTTATGTAATATACTGCTGCGTATAAGAAGTTTGGCAGCTTCGAAACTTTTTTTGTAGTAACACTGAAATTATTACAGCTTGGCGCCAAACATAAATAAGACTTGACATGCGTCGCGACAATTTCACTACCGGAATATTCACCGCAGTGTACCTCAGTTCAATGTTCATATTTTTTAATTTTACTTTAAATCTACTTGAGTGTATCCATACTAATATTATAAATGTGAAAGTGTGTTTGTTTGTTTGTTTGTTTGTTTGTTTGTTTGTTTGTCCTTCTTTCACGTCAAAACGGAGTGATGGATTGGCGTATTTTTTTGTGTGGAAATAGTTGTAGCGCTGAAGAGTAACATAGGCTAATGTTTACCGCGAGAGATTATCTAATTCCCACGAGAAAATACGTTATAATACTATCCAAAAAATATTTATGGACAGATTTACTTGAAGCATAATATTAATGCTCTTCAATAAAATTAAATAAGTAAGAGGGTAAAATAGGGGATGAAAGTTTCTATGAAACTACCTTTTTAGAGACTTTTTTGTAGTTTTAGAGCGAGCGAAGCCGCGGGTTCTGCTAGTAAAATATAATAACAACAATATCAATATAGTCATAACACTGAAACAACTGCGTTCGATTTCAAAATTGTTGCTCCATACTGTTGCTTGGCTTATATTTGTTTCTCTACCATTCGAGTCAGCAAAGCACATTTTTTAAATTATTTCTTATTATTCTCCTTAATGAATATGTTAGTATATTTCACAAAGTTTATAGACTAACATAATATATATGTTAAAGACTAACATACACATAGGCTAACATATATGTATATATATACATTACGAGTGTTGTTTGAACTATGCGCATTGAATGTAAACGAGAAATAGATATACAACAAGGCGCGGTGTAGCACCTCATTACAATGTACTCCTTTGAAGATTCACTAAAACTTAAAACAACTAAATACCATCCGTTATGAAATGAAATGATTACTTTTGTATTTCTAATATTATAGATATTTCTAGTAAAAAACAAATATTTTACCCCGTTTTTTATTACAACTATTTTAAATATTTAAAAAATTCAAGCTCATTAAATGTAAAATACAAAAATGTTTAACAAAAATATTTTACGCAATAAAAATGATAATAAAATTCACCTAAAAGTACTAGATTTAAAGTCGGCATAAAACGGTATTTTAATTGCGGTGTCGAGTGGGAACTTCGCACTCATCATCCGCTCCGCAAAATTACATTGATTTATTGTTGGTATGCAATCAAAATGAAACATCAAAGCTTGGACATACTGAAATTTTGATGATAATATATTTGTTACTCTGAAAAAGACCTTACAGAATTTGTAAGTAAAATAAAGCTACACAGCCTATATTATACATTTAATTACGTACTTTACCAAAGTTAAGTGTTCGTGGTACACATTATACATGTATAATATTCGCAAACATCATTTTTGTATGATTATTATTTACACATTCGTCTAGGGTTGTTCAACCAGTCAGTAGACAAGTAAAAATGATGTTCAAAGTCTATTAATAACACCCATGCCACTACTCCGCTGATGTTGTTATTAAGATTTTTGAAATAATCAGTTATCTACTACTTACTCTCTTTACTTATACTATGCACCTTTATTAAATATTTTTTAAATTTGATATTTGGAACAAAATGTATAATTTCATTTTACATAAAACTATCTTTTCGGATTTTTTCGCGGATTTATTAGACCACACCATACCATACATACCGTACCATAGACACCATGTAAGACCATGTGTACTACTATACCTTCGAGACATCTAACACCTCAGTCTCTCCCGTTACTACGATTGCTGTAAGCATTCGAAACGTCGGGAACCAAAAATCCAAATAAATCCGCGAAAAAATCCGAAAAGATAGTTTTATTTAAAATGTCACATATTCGCGTCAATCTAAGAAAGTATTATATCATTTCAATTACCTATTCTTTATATATATTATAAAATAAATGCAATGAATAAGCTTACAAAAGTAGTTTACAAACAGGAAGCTTTAGTTTTAAAATGATGTTATTGTAATAAAATTGTACGTTACTCTGACGTTTTTAGACTAAATAGTAAGTATAATCGTGGTCAGACGTCATCGCAGTAGCATGCAAAACTAAATATGAATGAACCACCAGCCAGCCAACTTTATGCTTCACGTAGGACTAAGATTCAATGTTTGGAAGCCATTCAAAACAACAGATTTATTGCAGTTTAAATATAGTGATTTTTAACTAATATATTTAGTATAAAGTAAAATTCAGGAAAATATAAGCAAATAGCGCTGTTTTTTATAGAAAAAAAATAAGATTCAAATCAATTAAAAGAAGCCAGCTGCTTCATCTTTCTCGGGCTCCGGCGATTATTCCGTTCTGCGTAAAGGAAGGGAAACCCAACAGACACAATTTCATATTTGTAATAAAAAATGTTTTAAAAAATAGATGATATTTGTTCGCAATATTTGTACACATTATACTAAGAATATTATAGAGGATTTGAAATAACAGGTTATAATAAATCTTTGTTTGGTTTCAGCTGGGTGATATTTACATAATCATGAGAGACGAGCGTGCCAGCCCCCCGCGAGTGCGTATCGCCGTCATTGGCAGCTCCCGTGTTGGCAAGTCGGGTAAGCGAAAATGTTTTTCTATTTATTTTTTGCAAATAAACATTCCTGAGTAAATATAGTTTTGATTCATACTTTAGTGTTCTCGAGGTATTTATTAATGAATTTATGTGGGACTTCCTTCGGAAAATTGTATTTTATTAAACCGCTAGAAGTGCTAACATAAATAATACCTATTTGTAACATAATTTGATAGCTTTTAACTCATTAGCATTGATAACTCTTAAAAATATTGTTTTATTTGAAGAAATCTTATGACCCAAATGCCTTCGAACGCCTATCGTATTTAGGTTTTATAGTCTGAAAGTATTTTCAAATCATATATACTTTTGCACATTTAAGAAATATAAAACTATGCAATCTACATATATTCAGCTCTACATTTACTGACACGATAAAGAAGATTACCGCGACATCTTAATGTGCAAACGTGTTGATGTGACCTCGTTTATTTAATGAAATAACACCTCATCTAACAAGTACGCTTTTAAAAATATAGCAAAACAAATAAATACATCCAGCTGCTAATCTGTCAACACAGATAATTTAAAGTGTTAAAAAAATATCTGACAAAATATTTGAGTGGTCAATATAAAATATTTTGCAATACATAAAAGATGAGCACGCCTTAATTATTCAGTACCCATAGCGTTTTCCATTCACTATTCAGGCGTCTATTTATTTGAAAGCTTCGGAACAAAAGATGCTAATGTTTTGTGTTTTACTATGAATAACTTTTACAGCCAAAATGTTTGATAGTTAATTAAAATGCAAAATTTATTTTCATAATAATAGGTTATTTTTAGTTATATTTAAAACCAAAAAACCAAAGAAATTAAATTCAAATTTTGTTACAGCTCTAATCGTTCGATATCTCACAAGAAGATACATTGGAGAATACCATTCAAATACTGGTTAGTATAAAAAAAAAGAAAATAGCTTTCATAATTTTATTTTTTATATGTTGATATTAATCAGCGTACTATTCCACAGATCTCCTATACAGGCAAACAGTTCCAATAAATGGTACTCCAGTTGAATTAGAAGTTATCGATGTGTCTGGCTCCAACGCTGACAAATTCCCGATGGAACAGGTAATTCAAGCAACTATTATTTGTTTAGGTGGTTTCTCATAACTATATTTTACTGCGTTTTATTAAATGAAAGTATGTATAAATGCATTCTACATCAACAAAATATTTAAAAAAGTAAAAAGTAAAAGCTTGTCGATTGGAGACCTTGCTCAGTTTCAGTAATATTCACCTTCACAAAACCTAACATTGGACGACCTTTGGCACCCCTTAACTACAGCTACTGAATCATAGAGAGATTAAGGATATTTTTATTTTATTTTAAAATAACAACAATCATTCTTCGAGGTCGATTGTTAAAGGCCTGATTTAACGGCGCACACGTTATGAGGCACATTAACGGCATCTATAATATTTTTATTTCCGTCTATTTTACTACTGCAATACTAGCTTCCGTATATTTATACTTATTGTATCAAAGTATCATATTTCATAATAATATATATCATCTGCTTGTCTGCACCCTTTTAAAGAAAATTAAATTAATATTGTATAAAAATTTAATAGGCTTACAGTCATTCAGCCTCAGAAAGTTCAATGTTCCAGCAAATGCAATTAACCCATAAATATAATACGAATAGCTGATGACTGAAGTCGTTCCAGTGACCTGCACAACGCGTTCCTTATGACTCACTTTGTTTATACAGAACAGAAGTGCTAAATTAATAAGAATTTGTATAATACCTGAGTCTGAGTTTGTATATTTCCATTTGCCTTAAAATTGCGTCTCGATCATGAAAGATCTACGTCAAAGAATAAAAAATAAATTATTAATTGTACTATAAACGTTAAATTTTAACATTTACAATATATAATTATAAAACAATGATATTCGTATTTCGTATATTGTATCATTTAAAGAATACATAGATAAATTGATATATGAACTATTTCAGTAATAATTTAATTATTATTATGCTAAATGTTCGTGTCGGTAGACGCCGACGAGACGCTGATATTAATCGATAGCATTGTATCTCAACGTGTTCAAGGCTGTTTGTGTTGGGAAAGGATTTATTATTATCTAACAATTATCATATTTATGACATGAATTTTCACGTAACTTTACTTTTTGTTTATTTAAATATATTTATTGCAAAATATGAAAAGATATAATAAATAGTTTCTATAAACGAGTTATTAATATTTATTGAAATATTTTTATTATTGTCATTTTCATACGTCGCGTTTACCATTAACGAAATCTTTAAAAGTTTAAAACTTCAACTACGATGAAAGTGAAAAAAACACATGAAACTGTTACGCGCGGAGTTTTTATACAGAAACATACTGTGTTTACTGTGTGTTCTACATTAGTAGACCTAATTAACCCCGAATTATTTTATGAAAACATTCAATTTCAACATAATCATTATTCAACCTGATTACCACTGCTCCATATGGTGAAGGAAAATATAGTAAGAAAATCTGCATACCTGAGAGAACTTTAGTTATCGAACGACGTGGAAAGTCCGCCGACCCGCATAAGTATTGTTAGTGTGGTGGACTATGGCCATAATCTGTTTCACATTAGAGGGTGACCCATGTCCAGCAGTGTTATATTAAAAAGGGTTAAATTATTATTATATAATGTATTATATTTTATTCGAATACGAAACACAAAAGATATTTCGAAAAAATATTATATACTTCTAAAAATCTCTACTCTAAAAATGATCTTCTTTATAAATAATCATATATTTTTGTTTTAGATTCAATGGGCTGACGCCTGTCTCCTTGTGTACTCAGTAACAGACAGGAGTAGTTTCGAATACGCCACAGAGATATTAAATACATTGAAAAGGACGCCCACGCATAGCAGCCCTGCGCATGCACCCACAGGAGCGACATCAGGGATGCCACTTGCTTTACTAGGAAACAAGACCGATTTGGATCATTTAAGACAAGTAAGAACATATATGTTATTTTATTTAATCTTGAAATAAATTGAATTTAATTCGTATCGTTAATAATAATTAAATATTCGACAACAAAAAATTTCATCGCGGATGCACACAAATTTCGATTTCAACGACTATACAACCACGATTATACATGGAAAGAAAATTTTGGTATACAGAAAAATAGCCATAATATAACATTGTACAAATGTCCTTAAAAATTATCTAATAACCTTGTAGTATAAACGATAGCTATCCCATTATCAATTCCATTAAACATGTTAGTTAAGTTACTTCCTACATACAATCTCATCTACGGCCTCCGTAATCTATATTTGTCCATGAATTGTTATTGTTAAAATATAAAGCCACTGCAAATCGTAACTGAAGTGTTTGAAAACCTTGACTTTCCAATACGTTTTCCATCTTTACATAACAATCGCGTGGGATTCATTGGCATAAACATTTGACAGTTATTGTGGAACCGGTTGCGCCCACACGAGTATTTCGATTCTTATAATTGTATTTTTCCTATAAAAGTTTTACACGGCAGATAATATAAATAACATATTTCTTGCATTACTTTTGTGTCAGAAAACTCAAAGTGAATTTAGGAAAATATTACCAGTGCGTGGTGTCTACTTATTTTTATAAGTAAAGTCAAGCGAATAATTACATTAGAAAAATATTTTATTATGCTTCGAAATATAATTTTATGATATACGAGTACACCCTTCGTTCCTTTAACTAAATCAATGTCGATTTCTAAAGGCAGTGTACGCAGGTCTTAGGAAGATGTCAACGAGACGTTTATTATTAGTACTGCTGTAAAAATATCGTCTTATTTCTACTAAAGACTTTCCTTTGTTTTCAAACATGCAACACACTTTAACCAAAAATCAATTTTAGGACCAAGTTATCGTCTTCCATCTTCAACGCGTATTATTCAGATCATTGACAATGGAATGTGTTCTTAGTAAAATTCTTAGTCTATCTAGCGAGTCTCATTGTCAGACATCATTTTCTCATCAGATTTTTTAGTTCCTAGAATTAAATACCTTTAATATTTTTTTCAATGATTATATTTTTTGAATTAATATTTTTTCTTTACTTTCCTTCTATATATACTTACTCGATGTGGAAGTTAAACTTACGAATAAAACATATGTATGTTGGTTGAACACAAAGGCGTAGGATGAATTCTCTTCGATTTTAATTGAGATCGGTCTATTCTTTGTCGTAAATTCTATGTAAACATAATGTCAGACGGAAAAAACTATCTGTTACTAAAAATACCAAATTAAATTAAATAAAAACAAAATTCATGTGCCTTTATATTTAGAGTTTTTTTTGGTCCGCCGCTATAAATAGATCTGTCTGCTATGAATGATTCAATGTCTCGCTTAATAAATCCAGGAGATTTACTGGTACTAATTCACGATTTATTCGAAAATATAAATTAGCGTTTTAGTTTTTTTTTATAGTTACTCTTCCGGTGCATAACTTTATCGTAATGTTAAATGTAAAAGTATAAAAAATAATTTTAGGTTTTTATGTTTATTTTTACTGTTATATGTAGTTTAAGATACGTTTTCTTTGTTTGCAGGTGCCAACAAAAGAGGGCCAAGCAATGAGCGTCGCGCACGGTGCATCGTTCAGCGAAGCGAGCGTGGCTGACAACTCGGGCGATCTCTACAGGTGCGTCGACCGGCTGCTAGCTGAAGTACGCACCCCGCAACGAACAAGAAAATTTTCCGTTACGAAGATGCTGGGATCACTAATAGGTATTTTATTATTTTATGTAATAATTTATTTTGTTACTTTTTTTAATAATTAACAGGTAAAATTAGAAAATTGTAAATTAATAAATTAACATCTTTCAATGAAACTACTATTCTATTATTATTGTACGCCAATATTGTTTGAATAAAAATACTTTTTTTATATTTATGAAGAATACGTAGTTAAACTTGGCACGTGAACTAAAATGTGTGCAGCGTATTAATGGCGATAGAGACTTTAAAATTTCTAAGTTTCTGAATCACACATATTTTCTTTTCACAGTATAAATAGGTACAATATAAAATCCAATGACATTAGAAAAAGAGGCATTATATAAAAACCAAAAAGATTCATGTTTATAATAATACCGAAGGATATAAAATTCACTCTCGTTTTTTTAAATTTTTGTAGAGACTATCTTAGAACTGAATATAGATAGATATTATAAATAATTCAGGCATACTTCGTGGTTATCAAACAACTATCGACATAATCTCATTTCGCTGGTCCTTAGGTGGCTAACAGTAGCTTATGCGTTACTCCAGATCTATTTGTGTTAATCCAAACGCGTCCAGGTGTTTTAGCGTGAAGGAGTACATAACACACATACAAACTTTTGCAATTATAATAGTAGATCTCTTCTTCCTTTCCTTGTCTTTATCCCACGCTACGGTACACATATGTACTCGTACATATACCTTCTTTCACCCTGTCCATCCGTACCTTCCTCTATCAACCTCCACTCTTATATTCAGACCATAATAATCCGATTATCTACAATAACATATTCTATCCACAGGTGGAGCAACAAACAACAGCCAGACGACGCGTGGGTCGATGGTAGCGTGCCCGCGCGTGCCCGCGCCGGCGCGGCCTCCACTGGCAGCGGCCGCGCCCTGACCGGCGCCCGAGCCGGCGCACCGCGCGCGCTGACGGCTTGCCGGTGCCGTGTGCCTCGTATGCCTCCCAGTGCCATCACGCTTCACGTCTCCGAAACCACTGTCTTCTATGTAACTATGAAACTTTCGTGTTTCTTGTTAATTGAGAACTTTCTAAGATAAAAAGCTCTTCGAGTGGAATCAAGACTACTATTTAAAGAACTATTACCTATCTTATAATTGTACAGTGGACGAAGTCTTTGAGACTAGTGTTGGTGCATTTTCTAAGCTTTAAATGCTGTTTAATTTTGCACTTGTGGCATATTACTTTAGTGAGTGTAAATATTTTATTGTGTAGTTAAATAGTAAAGTTACGTATATAATCTTGACAATAATCGCATCTTGGAGTCATCACGCAAGTTAAGATACCTGAATAAAGCGTCGTGCCAAAGATATATGTATTATGTATAGATAATAGATATATATTTATTAATAACAAATTATACAATACGAATTTGTTCTGAGCGTTTCTAAGATATTAAGATATATGTGTGCCTAAATATGTACAATCCAATAGATGTTTATAGATTTAAAATATAGCATTTTATACCTATATAATATGATATTCTTAAATGTTAAAATGTTGTATGTAAACGCAAATTCTGGGTCATAAAAATAATTGTCGTGTAATTGAAATTCAGCAAAGTTAACATAATCTAATTATAGTAAATATCATGTTTAAAAATATTGCAATCTTGTTTCTGTAAAAATTACATTTTCGAGCCCAAAATTAATGACTCAGTAAAAATTGCACATTTAATGTTGTCAAAACTTCTTTAATAGTTATTGTTATCAAAGTAAAACAAATTATATACACGATTTTTCTACTTTTACACAGTATTACTATCTTATATCTACGTAAAATTAAATAGCTGTATATGTTTCTGCATTGACAGAAGGTATCTTTATAATAAAAAAATTTATAACGTCAAAACGTGCATAAAACACTTATGTATATAAAGTAATTAGTGTACCAGCTATTGACATTTCTTTGTATTTAATCATAATTGTATTTAAATGAATATATAGGCTCTGTTGAAAGTATTTATATGTAGAAGCTACCAGAAAGAAAATCATAACATATAATAAACTGATTAAAATATGAATGTGCTCGTTTATATAATGAAAATAATGAAAAATATTTTAATGTTATTCAAATTATATTATTCTGAAAGATATAACATTCCCGACTGTCATAGATTTTTATGCAAATAAAAAACTATAAAACTACTCTAAAATATTTGCTTTATAAAGTCAAATATATTTAGATACATATTTATCAATATATCAATATCTATTTATATGTAGACGGAGAAAAAAGTTATGGTGCATAGATAAAGAATTTATAAACCTGAGTTGCAGGAAAATGTAATATATAAGCACATTTTCACTTTGATTAAATGTAAATTTCATATGAACTTAAATAAAAATTTTAATTAAATTTAATCGCAAAACATTCAATATTAGAATAATTTAATAATAATTTTATGTATTTAAAAATTTAGTCATTGTCTAGTCATTAGGTATAGGCTGTGAAAAGACAGAATGTGACGTTTGTAAGAGTATGAGTACCTTACTTTTATGTACTACTTGTTGTTTAATAAAAGTAATATAAAAATATTACAATGTAAAAATAAATATTTCAAATAATCAACGTCGTGTTTGCAGTTCTATTCTATAACTTTCGATAATGTTGTTAAGTAATTCCTATGTCGTAATTATCTCCCAAAAGCCAAGACGACGTTGTTACTACAAATGCCAAAGCTAAAATATTACGTGTTATTCAGACAATGATTGATGGAATATAAGTATGTTGAAGGCTATATTATGTTTATCATAATTGGACGTATATGATAATAGGAGTGGAAATTATATATTGTTAGAGAACTAAGAAATCTGAACTGACTGGAATAAGATGTAAATAAATTGTATGTTAAAGTATTAAATGTTTAATTAATAACATTTTTCGTTTTTCATTTCCTTATCCTCTTTTTAATAATCACTAGAGATTAAAGAAACTAGAAAGATTTATATATTATAGCAGTGAATTTAATTTTATAAATATACAGATGATATTTTTATACCTGGATTTGGTCTATTTTTCTTAATTTTTATGTCGCCAACTAATTTTAAAGCCAATTTTTCAACATAGTCATTCAGGCGAAGAGAAATTTTATAATAAATTGGTTTTAGTGTCGCAATTATTTAAAACAATGTGTTCCTCATAAATTATTTGTCATAGCGCCCTATATATTTTTGACATTAAAAATCTTATTTCGAAATATTACAGTGCATGCTAAGTATATGCGTAATCACACGTCGCGTTCTTTATATCCGAGCTACCGGGCTACCCTTTGCTAAGCGCTACAATTTTTTACACAATAAAACTCAGTATTTCTTACAGCCATGCCTCGAATCCAGTACTTCATACCTATATACAATCGCAGACTAACAAAACAGCCGATTTATTAAATAGATTCACAACAACCACACAGCACACAATCCATTACTGTACGTTGTTGAAAGGCAATTCTTCTAATTAATAAATACAAACTTATACCATGGGAACCGTACATATTTCCGGGATAAAAAGCCTATATGTTATTCCAGACTATAATCTACCTGTGTGCAAAATTTCAACCAGATCAGTACAGCCGTTCTGGCGTAAGAGTAACAAACATTCATACTCACAAACTTTCACATTTACAATATTTATATACAGATATACAGATTATACAGATGTTAGACAGAAATAAAAGCACTTGAACAAATCAACAGTCTATCAAAATAAATTTATAATATTTTATCTGTCAAAACAAGACGAGATTTTCCTTAGTATTTGGGGTATGGAAATCCCTCAAACAACTTTGCACTTTGGCACGATTTAAGACTTCACTCATCTGCATTTAACCCACTTACGAAGCCTAATAAAATATATCAAAACACGATTGCTGCAGCCACAGATCGTATAATCTAAGAAAGAACTTTTGATAGAAAATGTATTATTGTAGTTTTACAAAAATATTTTTAATAAATATTTTCAAAATATGCATAACTTGAAACGGAATTAAAATATTAAAACTTAACACAATACAATACGTTTTTTTTTTAAGTAGGCCTAAAAAAATACATCGAAGGTGGTTTTAAAATTTTAATGAATTATACGTGAAATGTGTAATGGGATTTTATTTCATGTATTATGAGAACTGTGATAGTTGCAGTGATAACTAAGGATATCCATACTAATATATGTTTTGCTTTTTAATCTCAACATATATATTTAATTATTAAAAATGTAGAGTAAAACTGTAAGCATCATAACCGCGATTGTGCTATAACAATAGGCGCACCGATTCGGCGGGTCACATCGTGCACGCGCTCAAATAAATCACGCTCGCATCTCGAACAATGCGAGATCAGAGGGGTGCGCACCCCAGCTGCGTCCCTATCGATCTGTGGACCGCTCTAACTTCTCGCTGCTAAGCTTCAGTCTGTCAACTCCGTTCCAAATACAAACGTCCATCATTCATATTGCTTATAATGTTTTAAAGTTCGTCCTCTTAGAATTTGTATTTAGTGTTATGTGTTAGTTTCTTTATGATGGAGGGGCGGAGGACCTGGGATGGAGTGCCGGTGGAGTCGCATTCTCCTCCCCAGTCGGTGCCGGGGCGACGGACGCCGCTGGGGGCTGTCGGCCTCGGCGGCTTCTACATGCAAGGAGGCCAGCCTCCGCCTCCACAACACTGCTATCCCACTGATGAGAACCAGCCGGAACCAGGAACTAGTTATGCTCAACGGTAATTAATATATAACAATAACATGGGAACGATGTATTTTTTGCTATTTATATGTATTTTTAATGTACATTCAATTTAACGAGTAGTAGTTATTTAATAAAACTCTACAAAAGTGTATTTATTATGATTTATAATATTTTATCAAAAAAACCAGAATATTTTCCCTAGACTTATATATTAATTATTATTAATATAGTTATATAGTAATAAAATATATTAAATAAACCTTATATTACGTAACTTTTTAGTATTTGCTCTATTTTATGATGCATATAATAAAAGAAGATAAAAACTACAACTACTACATACAATAAAACTATTTAAAAGTTACTTGTAATACCAGTAATAATATGTAATATTGAATTTTTAAAAGGCCATCAAGTACTCGTACAAAAAAACATTTTTTGTTAAATACTACAAACGTAGCACTTGTTACGCTTCGCTACACTATCAACCATCGGGTTTGAAGTTCCAAAAAGGGGAAGTTTAAAAAACGGGGAACATTTTTATATCGAATGTAAGAACCATATTTATTTTACTATTTAATTAATATTATTTTCAGTCCTATGGGGGAAGGAAAATCAAAACAGAAAATGCGCCAAGGAAAAAATGTGAGACTGAACATAAATGCTCGGGAACGGAGACGAATGCACGATTTAGTATGTATACAACATATATTATATTTTATAATATTTAAACTAATACAAAGCTTAATTTATTTTGCTACAAAGATATAATAATAATATATATAATAATATCAACTGTTTTTATTTCCAGAACGATGCCCTAGATGAATTACGTGGCGTAATACCGTATGCACACTCTCCTTCGGTCAGAAAGCTGTCTAAAATAGCAACACTCCTGTTGGCCAAGAACTATATTCTTATGCAGGCTAGCGCACTCGAGGAGTTAAGAAGGTACGTAAAACAGATATTTTATTCTAAGCAACATTATATAAATAAATAATGGAGAAAATTTTTTTAACTATTTTTTTTAATTCTGTATATGATATTTATTTATTATTAAATCTATTAAATATTAAGTATTAATTAAGATTTGCCATATTCAATGATCGTTACTGATTTTTATTTAAAGAATATTAAGTTTAAATTCATTAAAATAACTTACAGGTTAGTAGCCTACCTCCAAGGTACAGCAACAGCCGCTGGTATAGTTCCACCCCCAGGGTTTGACCTAACAACACTTCCTGCTGCTGCAAAGCTCCTTCAGCCACCAACAATTCCTGGGCCTCCAGCTCCTCCAGACCCACCTTCTTGAGATTCAAGTGTAAAATATGAACCATAAAAAGACCGCAAGACATACTATATGTACTAAAGGTACTAACTACGAAAATTAAGTACTTTGTAAAATTATGTACGTTGTAATTACTGTATGTCCTAAGATGAAAACGTTTTGTTTGTACTTGATGTTCATATGGAAAATCAAGAAATATTTTAATTGTGATCTCCTTTAGTAATTAGAAAATTTGAGTGGGATAGAATTTTAGTGATATATAGTAAGTATATTTGAGCAAATACAAATATTATGTCTATAACATTTGTATAATACCAATATGGTTTACTCGTATCTGTCCAAACAGCAAATGGCGTGCAAATGCGAAAAAATCCTCGATATTACTTACGAGTACGTAGCATGCAGTCATTCAAAACTCCATTTTTGGAAAATTATACCAGAAACATTTAAATTAGTTTTACTATATTTAATGATAACAATTTTAACTTTAACTAGCTAAATACTTTCAAACGTCACCGTATAAGTTAATTACGAGATTACAGCTTATTTAATTATGTTTTCTAATAAAATAATAAAAATGGCGTAGAAATTGTATTAGAAAAAAACTGACAGATATTTTAATATTTGCCTCAAAATTTACGTCAGCGATAGCAAACAATAAACTTTTTTCAACAAATATGTGTAATGTATATTATTCACACTGTACTAATACTTGTATACACTTCTACTAGTAAATGTAGATTTTTTTATAATTTGTGTTAAAACTACTAAGATTAATTAAATAATACTAATTATAAGTTTGTTAGAGCTTGCAAGGCAGTTTAATCATATTGAAGTACATACATTCTACTAATATTATAAATGTGAAAGTTTGTGAGGATGGATGGATGGATATTATAGAGGTTACTCTTCCACGCCAGAATAGCTGACCGGATCTGGATAAAATTTGACACAGAGAGAGATTATAGTCTGGAATAGCACATAAGTTACTTTTCATCCTGGAAAAATGTACGGTTCCCATGGGATAGATTTGTTTTGTCTTGGGATTAACCCGAAACGAAGCAAGGGTGAGTCGCTAATAAATCATAAATAATCATTTTTTTAAAGTTGCAAAAGTAAACGCTAGATTTTTCATATTTGATATTAATGTATAAATCAATTGGAATATTAAATTTTCTTTAAATAAAGTTATCAACCTGCCTTGCTAGCTTTTCAAACAAAATAACCAACTCTCTGTATTTAAAAGAGAGAACTGTGAATACATGTGCCAAAATAATTTAGATAATATATTATTTACAATTAATTCTATAAAATAATATTAATTATGATTAAAATTAAATATGTAAATTAAATAAATAAGGACTGGTATTATGTAAATGGCTTAAAAACGCCACTAAACTTTAAGTAACATTTAATTTAGATAGTAAACTAAAATAGTGGTAGACTATACTACAATGTCTCTCATAAGGTCTGTATTTAGACCTTTTATTTATTTTATATTTTATTTTCGGATGATTAATTGATTTATAAATCAAAATAATAAATTACAAATTAACCGTGAAACTTAAATATAATTTAAGATTATTTTGTACCGAGAACATTTAGTCTAAATAAATTAGTATTTGTAAATGGATAAAGAAATTTGTAAGTAACTCCTTTACGGTAATAAATGTAACGTAGCAAGTCAATTTTAATAATAATTGATAATTTATTTTAGTTTCTTTAAAGGTTTACCATTTACTAAAACTTTTTTTATTATTTATGTTATATTTTGTACTTGAGTGAGTGAGTACTTACAGATCCATATAAAAAGACTTTCAAAATTGATGTCGCATGATACTGTATAGACTACCGATTATTCTTATTTTATTTTTACTATAAATTTAATATAATAATATAATTTATGAATTTTATATAAACCAAAGTAAAATGTGATTGTTATTAGCAATAAATAGCATATAATATAGGTATGCAATTATAATATATAGTTAATTGTCCTAACAAAAATAAAATATAAGTGTAGGGTGTACATGCTGCCTTTTATTGAACAAAACAAAAACATCTTTGAAACTTTTAAAATATTGTCAAATTATCGACATTTCACGTTGCGAGAAAATTGTCTAAGGTTCTATTAATATAAAACTAAAAGAAATCATAGCATTATAATTTAAATATAATCTATAATTAATTCGTTTTCATATCCAAAGCCGTTAATATTTTTAAACGGTTTTATTTATTTATCTTACGGGTCGTAGCGTAACCTGAGTAAATATGTAAAAAGAATTTATAATGTTAATGGGCGATTGACTGTTGATTGAAATTTCACGCGTCCCAAGATTATATTTTTGAGTTTGATCAATGCTCTAGGTTGATGAGAAGAGTGGTGTGATGACTGGTATATAGGACCTACCTAATATTTTTTTAGTTTTTAATACATTATCTACATCATTATTACCTTTCTTTTCAATAAAACCGTTTAACTTATAAAAAAACCTATTTTTAAAAGTACTCGTATGAAGTATCGAAATTATTAATACTGAGGTGAAGTAACAGATTCATTACTCATATAAAAAATATTACAATATAAAACAAATATGTATACTTTATAATAATGGTATACAATAAAAAATAATCTGGCTACACCCGCGCCATCTATACATAAATTATCTAATCAAGAAAATCTTTCGTACCCAGAACTCTACTGAAAACGTATGTTCATGAAATCTTTTAGATACTAAAAATGAAGTCGCTTACAGAGATTGTCGGTAGATGGCGCTCTTCTGTAATGATTGAAGGTGACCACGCCCAGTGCATTACGTGTATATGAAATATGTATGTACTAACATCTATAAATATTCTAACATGACACAGCTGGATTCATTTATGGTAGGTTAATAAGTAAAACAATTTTAAATTTTACATTTTGCGCTGACTACGAAAATTTCTGTTAGTATAGGTTTGATAGTTTTATTTTAAGTTTCTATAATAAAACTAATTCTCTAAGCCACTAAAGAAAGAAAAAAAATACTACGTCACAATATAACCATGTACCTACAATATTTTATTTATTGATTACGATGTAATAAGAGAAATAGAGTCTGTAAGAAGAATGTAGAGATTTTTTACATATTTAAATTATAGGTATTTTAAATTACAAAAGACATGAAAAATAACGATAGCAATGTTCTCATTAAAACTTTACGTTTGCCAATGCAAAAGTTCACTAATACTCTACTCTTGTCAATAGGTTAGGGAAGTAGGCCTTTAATGTAAATCATGTTCGAATCGCAGTTATAGCCATATATTTCAAAGGCGGCAATAGTTTTTAATCCATATGAGATTTTAACAACTTACATAATAATAATAATTTTTACTTTCTAGTGTTATATTGTTCTCGTATAACTATTTTTATTATCATAGGTCAAGAGCTCCTAGAATTTAATTCACTACCACGCAGGACCCTTATTTTTATAGGACGACATCATACGAAAAACGGGGAGTGGAAAGCTTATTATATATTTGAATCTATCTCACTAAATGAAATAAATTTAAGAAAATTGGATTCTATTGAAACTTATAAAAATAGATTGCTAACGCACAAAAGCAAAAGGACCAAGAAAATATAATTTATTTCATTATAAATATACTAATATAATAACACTAATAAGCAAAACTATTTCACAAAATGTTCTATGTAAACTTTAACCAAAATATTTTTTCTCATAAATTAATACATCTTATGCCCGATTTCACCAACAACCCATAAGCTACCACCTACGTATGGGATCCCTAGCTTAAAATTCTCCTAAACTAGCCCCTAAATTAAATTTCGTTTTACCATCGTCTTTAAGCCCATATTTCGGGCACCTAAATTTAGGGGGCCTTTTAACATTTAGGTGACCCCTTACTATCGGTGAAACAGAAATTGTCCCCTAACAGCCTCCTAACCATGCTTAGGGGGATCCCTTAAACTTAGGTGACGTTGGTGAAATCGGGCATTAGTTTTCCATAATGTCAAAACGATATTTCTTCGTCATAGGCACAACCAGGTACAGCAACCTAATCATTGACATCGTAACCTTCCTACACAAGGCTGTGACATTTGACCTATTCAATCATAGAACGTAGTTACGTTTAAACAATGTGCAAAGAGAAATTAGAGCACAAGAAGTGCGTTATACCATTTGCCGAAACGTTACTAAAGTGAAATTTTAAACGAACGAAAACAATTATTTTATTTTATCATGCAATATATTTTGAAAAAAAAAGCAAGAATCTACTTGGTGAATCTATTTGTAGACAATTGATCAAATGTTATTAATTTGTAGAAAAAATTACAATATATAATCTATAAAAATTGTATACATAGATTAAATTTGCTATATGTGATTTTCCAATAAATGCCGTTTATTAATAAACATAATAAATATGATATATTTTGTATATTTTAAAGCTATATGAATCGATGAAAATCAAGCTAAACAAGGTTTTCTATTTTATCATAAAAATTAACTTCCTGTAGAAATATTTTACGAAAATCTTCTAACTGAAAAATATTGTATTAATATTACTGTATCTACATGTAATTGATTTACATATGTATGTATGTTCAGAACATTAATATTTGTTGAATATTTACAAAATGTTAATACTAGCGACTTAACCTCGCTTTTTACCCCAAGAACCTTCGTATGCGTATGCTAAATAATCCACCAGAGTTTTATCGTCCAGGAATGCATAGAGGGCAATAATATTAACATTCATTTTTACTTAGATATAGATTTAAATTAACATTATAGTAATAATTATTGTTAATATATTTTTCTTATTAAATCTTAAGAAAGGAAAATAATCCCTCAGAATTGAAAATTGATTTTCATGTGGAAATTTTATAAATGTACTTGCTGGAGTTAACTAAAATACTTTTTAAACATTACTTTCAGTTACTTGTTACTATTTCATATACGTAGGTAAGATTTCCCTGAAAGGCACTTGTTCCTACGCCGGAGATTGTGGGTTTG